CACCGTTCAATACGGTAGTGATGCTATAATATTAACCTACTGAGTATAAATAAGTATAAAATATAATATACTAGAGTTTTTAATGAAATATTCAAATAATAATATATATCTTGTTGAGAATGTGGGTATATAATGTTAGATAAAGTATATTGAGATTGTATAAGGATTTTGATTGTCATTTGCGATGTTTTATGAGAATCAAGGGGTCTGCAACAGGGGGTCTGGATCAGTTTGCATCCTTGGATCCAAAAAAAAAAAAAGACCCTGCTTTGAATGAAGAAATGTCTTTTTTTGAATCCCTCTCTTTCAAACTTTTTCTGAGCTGCATTATCTAATATTTTGGGCTAAAATATTGTATAATACTGAAATATAACTTCAATTAATGTCATTACATGGACAAAATAGCATGCATTTTACCTGTCTCTGATAGTCACACAGTTGTTTATGCGCCCGTGTGCATAACTCCAGAGAGGTTTATAACTCTGCTGTAATTTTTAGAGCAGTAACATCTGAAACGAAAGAATTAGTGCCAGCTTCTCTTTTTTTGTTAATCATGAAAGTGTCGGCATTTTTCTGTATTGTGGATGTGTGTAATGATAATTCCTTAGAAATACAGTATGGACGATTACAATAATCACAAAAAAATAATGACATTGCCATGATGCTAATTATTATTATTATTATTTTTAAAGTAATGGTACTGTTAAATAACTGTTGGCTAAATTATGCCAAAATTATGATGTTGATTGGAAACAGTTGAAATTACCATGTTTTTTTTGTTTGTTTATTTTTATGTTAGATAATATTTTATCCAACATATCTAACAGTTCTGTGTGTGCAATTAACATAATGTATACTTCTTTGTAACTGTAACTTTGTAACTGTTCAGTAACTGATTTCACAATGGCATATATCAGAGATATTGCTTTGGTTTTTGATTCATGCAAAGGTCTTACTTTTGGACTTGTGCTTCAAGCTAAAAGTTTCTAAACTGATTCCAAATTCATTGATATATTTAGTAAACTGAAAATCTTAAAAAGGAAAAGGTGCTAGGCTATTTTATTTACATTTACATTTACATTTAGTCATTTAGCAGACGCTTTTATCCAAAGCGACTTACACATGAGGACAATAAAAGCAGTCAAAACTAACAAAAGAGCAACAATATATAAGTGCAAATGACAAGTCTCGGTTAGCCTAACGCAGTACACGTAGCATGTATATATATATATTATACACACACACACACACAAAGAAAAACAAGTAGATAGAATAGAAAAAATAGAAAGCTAGTGGTTTTTTTTATAAAAAAAAAAGAAGATAAATATAGATAAAGTAGAATTAAAATAGAATAGAAAGTGCTAGAGTTAGAGGGTCAAATAAAGGTGGAAGAGATGTGTTTTTAGTCGTTTCTTGAAGATGGTTAAGGACTCAGCTGCTCGGATTGAGTTGGGCAGGTCATTCCACCAAGAGGGAACAGTTATTGAAAAAGTCCGTGAAAGTGATTTTGTGCCTCTTTGAGATGGCACAATAATACGCCGTTCACTTATTGTCAACTATATTTTACTATATTTTAACTATATTTTCGCCGTTCACTTATGTTATTTTATCTAACATATCTAACAGATTTGTGTCTCTACTGACTTAATAAAAGTTAGATGCTGTTTATTTACTAGAAAGTGCAGAATGAGGCTCTTCTCTAAATGCGTATAAGAAAATGACAATTACAAATCCATTATATTTGTCTTGGTATTGATAACTGAATGAGTTCTGTTCTCTTAGAGGAGGAAAGGCTTTGATATGGTTGGTCTGCCACTGCGTCGGAGCGAGTCTTCGTGACAGAATCTTTGTACTGAATGGAAGTGATGGCAGTCAGGCAGGCAGCAGTCTCGGCTTCTGTCAGAGGAGTTGTCTTCAGAGAGATGAAAGGGAAATCTGTCCACAAAAACGCTCTGCGAGGAGTGTGTGCGAGAGTGTTTGTCACATATATCACAAAGCTCAGTTTGTCTTCTTTTCATCTGAAGACATACTCTGTTTTTTCTTTCTTTTTTGCATCACTTTTTCAATTTCTTCATCCAACTGAAAAGAGATGACCGTATTTTAAATGGGTCAAATTGAACGATAGAATGATTATAGACGGTGTTTCCAAGTTCCAACATCAAATTAATGCATTTGCTTCTTTTTTCTTAAGTAAGGTTGTGTTTTTTCCCCTCTAGTTGTTTTGTTTTCTTTGTACTAGCAATGCAAATACACCACACGGTTGAACTCATTTTGGTAAGACGAAAGTGAAATCATTAGCACATTGTTGAACATAAGCAGCTAAGCCATACAATATGGGCTTAGTCTTAGCTTGCCTTCCTTAAAAATACACCTTACAATGATCAGATTATGTTCATAAATCATCATAAGCTCCAAGCATTCACTGAAATTTAAAGTATATGTCCTTAATGACTCACATAGTTTGATGTTTATTGTTCTCTATCCAACATTTGTTATATTCATGGTCAATATCATTTTGGCAGTGCCTTGCCGTGGTATTTATTTGAGGAAGCGACAAAGAGAGAGGGGGAGTGTATTTGTGCTGTGGGGAGGAAAGGAGATACGCCTACACTGGTTAGCTGAAGTTTTGTTGTGGCTTTTAAACTCCGTAATAAGAGTTTGACTTTGGATTTGTTAAAGGTGAAGTGTGTAATTTCTGCTCCGCTTTTGGCACCAAATGGAATTACACAAAAATATTGTGTATGCAATAAATGTAATGCACTAATGTTCCTTTGTATGGAAAGGTAACTCATTTCACAACAGCATATATAAAAAACATTGCTTTGGTTGATGATTTATATAAAGGTTTTACTTAAGTACTAATTTAATGGTGCTTTACATTAGCTTTTTTCAAACTGAGTACAAATTTCCAGGGTGTTAATTTCTCAACTGATTCAAAATTCATTGATTTATTTGGTTCAAAATAAACTGAAAATTGTAAAAAGGTAACGGTTTTTGGCTGTTCACCGTTCAATACGGTAGTGATGCTATGATATTAACCTACTGAGTATAAATAAGTATAAAATATAATATACTAGAGTTTTAATGAAATATTCAAATAATAATATATACCTTGTTGAGAATGTGGGTATATAATGTTAGATAAAGTATATTGAGATTGTATAAGGATTTTGATTGTCATTTGCGATGTTTTATGAGAATCAAGGGGTCTGCAACAGGGGGTCTGGATCAGTTTGCATCCTTGGATCCAAAAAAAAAAAAAGACCCTGCTTTGAATGAAGAAATGTCTTTTTTTGAATCCCTCTCTTTCAAACTTTTTCTGAGCTGCATTATCTAATATTTTGGGCTAAAATATTGTATAATACTGAAATATAACTTCAATTAATGTCATTACATGGACAAAATAGCATGCATTTTACCTGTCTCTGATTTTTTCTCTCACTGTAGACTGAAAGCTAATTCAACATATCAAACAAATAAAGTGAACAGGCACGTTAAAAGCAGATCTATTTACTGTGTGTTTTGCACCAGGTCGTGGACCAGCCGCTTTAGTTGTTATTCATAGACACAGCCCTCCCAAGCTCGGGGGATGGAGGGAGGGGAAAAAAAGAAAGAAGACGTGGAAAAAAGAAAAAGAAGCAAAGAGCTTAAGTCCAGGACTGAAAACAGGAATGACAAACACCATTAGCTGAAAAATTTCCATCTCATTGCAACTATGTTATTGTTTACTTTAGCATACACGTCCTAATATGGTTTCATCTCTGTTAAAACAGTGCAGAAGGAAGGCCAGGGGCCCGGCCCAGGGTAGAGGCCTTTAAACTGCCACTTAGACAATAAGAAACAAATGTCACAGGCCTTGCCTCTCACTATTACATTATTCAACCTTACCCACGTCTCGGCACGTGTTTGCTAATGATATTTAGGCTTTTTGCCTCGCTGGGTTCTCTTTCTCTGTCTACAGCCGCTCATATTTCATCCTTCCTTATGAAATGGCTTCATTAACACCGTAACACCGGTGTGTTGCTGCATTAACCAATTTCCTATTGAAACAGGAAGTTGGGGCAGGCCATTTCAAGAAAGCCAGTAGCCAATAGCCTTTAGTTTACATCATGTACAGTCAGTTTCTTTAAGGCAAGGGGTATTCTAATTCTAGAGAGCATCTGCTTGGACAAAAAATTAGTGCAGGATAGTTCATTTTCCCTAAATGTTATTTTTATTTTGTTTTATTTTATTATATTTTGGCATTATGGTAGAAATGGAAGAAATGTCATGAAAATATATATACAGTCTAAATTATATTTATATTTACAGTCTAACAGTCTAAAACAATTTTAGTGTTATTATTAAATTATGTATTAGTCATTATCAGTGTTTGGTTAATTTGGCCAGATTTTATTTTATTTTATTTTATTTTATTTTGGCATTATGGTATTTGACAAGAAATCTTATTAATTGTCATGAAAATATGATTCTAAATTTCTTAATGATCTAAAACAATGCTATTGCCTTTTTATTTAAAATTATTATTCATAATCAGATATTTTGTTCATTTTCCCTATTTAAAATTAAATTTGTTATTTAATTTATTATTTTATTTTATTTTTGCAGTTAGAATTAGGAAGAAATTAGCTTAATTGTCATGACATTATTTATTTATTATATTTAGTTTTTTGGGGTCAGCTTAAGGTGCTTTTTAAATTTAGTGTTGTACTTTTTACCTTTGCCTTTTTCTACTAAATTACTTTTATAGTACTTCTCTCTTTCGTCTTGTATCTCTCTCTCTCTCTCTCTCTCTCTCTCTCTCTCGCTCTTTCTTTCAGTCTTTCACTCTTTTGTTTGTTGTAGTTGCCTGTTCACTGGTTGCCCGTGTTTGTCTTCAGCAGGGGATAAGGGTTGGTGTGTTTCAGAACAGATTAGTGCAGTCACAGGTTGTGTCCCTCCTCTCTCCGCTGCACCCTCATACACGAGACTCCTCAAGCGCTAGCCGACCAATCAAGCTCTTTTATTCTCTTCTCTGATTGGTGAGTATCTTTAGGACTTTCATTCTGCTCGTGTCTGTAACGTGTGTAAAAATCCTTGCGATTTAATGCAGGTTTTCAGAACACATGGCTTATATGATTAGGTGAAGGAGCCTTCATCAAAGGGACGATGAAGAACGCTAATGCCAAGAGAAATGACAGGACATGGATATGGCTTACAGCAGAGGAAAGGGCCCTAGATCTCTCTTCGCCCTCTTCCTTGTAGGTTAAGGATGTGGCCGGCCTCACCTCAATCCTAAAATCCTCACGCTTATGATATTTGCTCAGCGTTATCTGCAGCTGTAGATGAACGGCATTCTGGGACATTGAGGAATGTTGAAGGTCAGCCACTGTATTCTTAGATCTAAATCAGGCAGACACTTCAGTGCAGGCTACACCTTATCTATGGGTATATTGTCATAACATGGCTTTAAATTGAGATTAGAATTTTGTGGTGTTATTCCCTGCATTTTACTTACTTTTTTATCATCATTTTTTCCTTTACATTTATATTTGCAAGTTTGACATATCATCTATTTCTTTATATTGTTGAATCTTATGGAACTATTTTATATGAATGACTTTAAAAAGAAGAGTAATATTATTTTAAAATAATAGAATAATTAAAAAATAGTATGTACAATATAAAATATATTTGATACTATATAAAACATAAAAACATGCAAATATTTTTTAAAGTATTTTTAATGGGAGTTTAATATGGCTAAACATTAATAATTGACTTACATCCATACATCCATTGATCCATCTCTCCATAGGTCTGTTTTTCTCTATCTCTGTCTGTCTTTCACATTTATTTATTTATTTATTTATTTATTTATTTATTTATTTATTTATGAGAATTGGTAAAGAAAGGTGTTTAATTGCCATGAAAATATAAATATAAATTTGTTAGTGGTCCAAAAACAGATTTGATTTTCTTTAAGCAAATTATAATATGTTGTAACATTATACATTATTATAATTTTTTATTTTTGAGGATTTTGTTTGTTTATTTATTTTTGACAGTTTTCACTAAAAGATGAGATTTACTCAAACAGCTGCCTTTCTCTCCTCATGTTCCACAAATGAGTAGTGAAATCAGTGAATATATTTTGCTGTGAAGTGTTTTGCTACTTTCAGGCTGAAATAAATTGCTTTGATTAGGTTTGGTTGTGTGAGTAATACCATATGAACAGGGACACATAGATTGAGTTTTGGTTCTTTATTCCAAACGCTGTCTGGCTCAATCCTGCCTAATAAGTGCAAAGACAGATAAACTATTGTCACCTCTTGGAATGGAGGCGGATAGGAAATAAGTAATCCGTATTGATTTTGACATTACAATGTTGTAAGTGATAACTACGTTAACAGCCGCTATAAAACCAAAGCCCTAATTAGGCCGTATTTCATACTAACCATTAGGTAGGCTTTTTAATTCAACGGTGATACCAAAGTGATCAATTTTCCTTGCATTTTGTGCTTTAGAAAAAGCAATGCACAAAGCCAGCTTTGTCTTTCAGGCAAAAGGGAACAGCATTGTTTTTAACCTTCTCTTAATGAACTTTGTGTGGCTGTTGTTTGCAGACTTCAAGGTCAAATTCGTAGAATGGCTGTACGCTTTTTGTAAACATGTTTACATGCAGACATGTGTAAATACAGTAAATGTGTACAGGCTCAGAGAGGCAATACCGGTTTACTCTGTGTTGTTGTTTTTTCTGATAGATAGTTTTAGCACCTCATGTGCGCACGAGTCTGTTTGTGCAAACGTCTGTGTGGCCAGGCGCTCGTGCACCTGCAAAAAACTATAGTTTCACAACCCCATAATGATGCTTCTGCTCACAATGAGCATCTGTTTGTAATCGTGGGCCACAAGTGATCGAAAAAAAAGAAGAAAAGAAAGAAATAAAAAGGGCAATGAAAGCAAAAAAGAGAAGAATGCTTGAGGAGCCGTGGTATTAAATATGAATTAATGGAATGAAGCCTATGCACGGCTGCAACAGCGAGAAAAAAAAAAAAAACATTAATAAAATGTATGTTACTGGCGCGTAGGTACATTTGGACTTAATATCCTTTAATTAGAAGTGAGATATTAGCATTTCATAGGGATTTACACAGGGAAGACGCTGCCGCAGACAGGAGCACTTTCATTCCACTCTGTTCTGCATGTAATGAGCGGTATCATTAGTTGATGGAGAGGATTCTGCCCCGACTCTACCTTGAAAGGCACGTCATTTACATACTTCTTAGCAATATGGCCTATAATGGATTCCTCAATGAATAAAATAAAATAGCACTTCTTTAAATTTTCAAGAGTAATGTGCACAGGCTCTGATTCGTTTGTTGGTGCGGTTTGGCGAATTCAATCGAGACCAAGTCCTGGGGGGTTGGTGAGGAGAGATTGACTTATGTCTGAGAGTTAAGACCTCAGATTTTGCTCCAGGAGAAGGAGAAGTGCGTCATAAATTCGGAATGAGATCAATAATGTGGCGACATGAAAGTCTTAAAGCTACGGATCAAAAAAAAGGGGAAAGCATGACACAAACTGTGTTTTTGTGATCAGTCGAGTCCGGGTTTGAGGGTTTTTTTGTGGGATGATTTGGGTTGCAGTGCTGTCATTTCTGGTGCAGTTGCTTTCGGTAAACGGCAATAGTTAAATGTCATTATTCATGATAATTCGGCTGGAAAGTGGAGGTGTTTTCCTTCCCCTTTCAAATGTAAGTTTATAAGCCCTCAGATGTCATCCCACCCCCATCTCTCTCACATATTTCTTTCACTTTTTCTCCCACCCATCGGATTAGCGGTGAAGTGATTTTGTATTTTTTTGATGAGCTCCAAAGTGGCAAGGGTAGGAAATGGTACCTTTGATCAGAGCATCTCTAGGAAATGGAACCTGAGGGTGTGAAGTCCACCAGGTAAGAAACATCCAGCCCACGTAAGCCCCTCCCTCGTCACGTTTGAGCGAGACAAAAGCCCTCCCCCCAGCTTCCCGCCACTCGAAAACACATATTTGTTTTGGCTGTTTTCATTCCGAGTTACATGAGCACCGATTACAGCTTTTCATTAGTGAAAATTGGGTATTTGTTTTAAACTTTAACCAATCACTTTGATATGCTAATTACGCTGTAATTTAATTTGAGTCCCATAATGATGATGCCGTTATTATGGACATAAATGATGCAGTTAAGCAGAGAGTAATCTCATTTGCATACTGTACATGCCGGTAAATGAAGGCCTTTCCTGCTTGGCTTCAACTTTAATTTTGCACTTCTTTTCACACAGCCTCTCTCCCAGCCCTCCATCAAATAACAGGCCTTTGCGTGTTTGATGTGGAGAGCCGCTGTTACGCTCCGAGTCTAGTCACAATATGTAATACATAAAGGGGGCTCGTTAGCACACTGAGTGTGCCTCTAAGATGCTGCCATTAATAGGAAGAGGTGGGTCACACTTCAGGCTTTTTTTCGCAGATACTTGCGTTTTTTCCTCCCGCCTCGTATTCTTTTTCTCTTGGCCATCTTTTTGTATTTCCACTTTTTGTCAGCTCAGAAAAAAAAACGAAAAAAAAAAGCATTAAAGAACTGAAGCACAATGTCGGTTAGCCGTTCCGCAGCAGGCGCTGTTGTTTTGATCATGGAGAAGACTGATTGGTTTAAAGGGCGATTTGTGTGCCGGTGCATGATTCATGGTCACGGTACGAGCAGGGTGCACATGTTTATTAAATCACTTTTTATCCTATCACGTTTATGTCGATGGTTCTTAATGCACTCGCAGTAAATCCTACAGTGTCACCGTCTTAATATATATTTTTTTATTTACATTTTTAATGTATTATTATTGTATTAATTGTTTTAGTTTTAGTTAACGATATTAGCTTTAAATCACACTACAGTTTTTTTTTTTTTTTTTTTTTTTTTTTTTTTTTTTTTTTTGAAGATTGCGTGAGTGTTAGAATTGAAGGTAGACAAATTTTACAAAGACTAAACATATTTAGCTTGTTTTTGCTGGTCAGTACAATTTATATTTTAGAGCTTAATAATTTGGAGTCTGGTAAGTAGCCTTATTGGGAAGTGATAAATAAAACGCTTTTCCTCTCAGAAAAATCTTCTTTTCTGAATGTGATTTCTTTTTGTAATTTTAGAATGATTGCCAAAAAAAGTCTGTCTCTCTCTCTTTCACTGGGTGGAGGGGATATTTTATGGACTTAATGCTGACAATACAATTGCCCTTCAGTGCGAATGCTTTTCCATTTTGTACCATAAAGAATATTATTTTCCTGCCAGCCAATTTTCTCCGTTAGTCCCTAATTGGCTCCATAAATCTGGTGGCGTGGAGGGTGAGGAATGTTTCGGTGTCGCAGAGTGTAATCCTCACCCTTATTTACCAATTCATTAAGATTCATTGATGCAGGATAGGGTGAGAGGAAATGACAGCATAAATCAGGGTTCCAACATAATGACCCTAATCAGCTGGGAATTGCAGAAAATGGCATGATGAACTATGTCCTTGCGTTAGTGCCCACTGTATGTTGTCATTGCGCTTGCTGTATGGGTGGGACGCATCTCCCTGACACGGACTGTATTTAACACACAAAAAAAAAGAGTTGTTAAAAAGCCGATTCCATTAAAGCGCTCGTCAGTTTCACGCAAGGTCTTCTGCCGTTTACCCCCAGCATGCCCTTTACCTTTGGTTTAACTGCTTAATGGAAGACAGGGGACTCAACCCTTTCTTTTTAACCCGTTCAGTATTTTAAAATGTTTATGCCTCTTAAGCACAAACCTGGTGCCTGACATCAGCATGGCAGAACGGATGCCATATGTCCGCTCATTTTGCAACACACATTTTGTAGTAAACATTCAGAAAGATATTTCGCTTTTGAGCATAACTACAATTTGGCACCAGCACTTCACAGCTGTGCAATATCCCTTTCTCGATATTGGCTAAGTATGCAGGATGGAAACTGTACCAAGCGATGTTGTGGTTGATTGCGGTGAGGAATCTTTGTT